TAGAGAATAAATAGATAAGTTTGTTGGACTGAAGAATCCTGCTTTTATGGATAACCAAACTAATGATAATTGGATTAAGTGGAAATAAAATAATGGAAGTAATTTGATAAATATTCATCTGCAAAATATTTTCTAGGAATAATGTTTATGGCAAAATGTTTCCTGGGTCAGCTAGAGTGAATATGATTATCACCTGTTCATTGAAAGTCAAGAACGATGACATTATCCTAATGCTGAATTGAATTGAAAGAATAATATCAAGACGATAATCATAAGATAAATAAGACTGAAAACTAGTGAAATAAAAGGATATATATCCCACCAACGCTGTTTTGAGTGAAATTGTTTTCGAAGAATAATTCATCATGAATTGAAGAACCATCAGGAAATGTGTAGTGAGTATACAAATCTATCAAAATTTTCAAATTGTATGTTGAACTATTGAAGACTAGGAAGTGGTCCTCTTCCTGTAACCACCTTTCATAAATAATATCATACATTCATAACTTTTTTCTCGTAGAATGAATAGTTGAGTGTTCAGTATATCTACTGCCGGTTATTTTGATATGAGGGAAAGTAATGAGATGTGTAGAAGATCAAAAAATAGCTCTAATGAATCAAAGATGAAAGTAGGTTAATGTGTGGCTTTCACTTGATTAGTCATATTTAATAGATTGAATTCAGATCCTCGCATTGAAAAACGTATTTAAATAAGTACATACACGATTTCAGAAAGTAGATGGTTTAATGGATGAACACTGGAAATCAAATGAGTCTAATATATTTCACAGATTGTTATTTCATAGTCAAGAAGTAGAGTAACCAGATATACATCATATGAAATTTCCTAGAGAAAAGCTTCTTCTTCTTCTTCTTCTTCTTCTTCTTCTTCTTCTTCTTCTTCTTCTTCTTCGAAGCATTCGTGGGCCCCCTTATTCAAGCCCATAGTGCGTCCACATATTCCGACATTCAGCTGGGTATGCCGACTTCCTTGGAGAAGTTCAGCAGCTTCCTCAGCTGAATCTCTCTCACGTCCTCTGGCTTCAAAATTATGTTGCCAAGGACATCCCTTCTCTGATATGTCAGTGCTAGGCACTCAGTGAGGACATGCGATGACGTTTCGTCATCTTTCAGGCACCATCGGCAAAGGGATCATCTTCCCAGATAGCACACAATCGCCTAGGGTCATCCTCAATGTGTCCCCAAACGCCTGGAGAGGACGTTATATTTTCTACAACCTGAGAACATCATCAGGCGTAGATTTAGCGCCGTAATTGTCCTAGAAAAGTTCGTTCATTCACAGCCTGAGGCTGCAGCGAATTTCGTGCCTACGGATGTCTTCAGATAACATTCCATGAAATAACGTGTCGACGAAGCCAAAAGGAAGAAGAAGAAGAACTAGAAATACTAGGAGTGGGGTTATGTCTCATGATAATATTTCTCTGAGAAATTGATAATGAGAGATACAGGTAATTAATTTATCGAATCATTGATAGTAGGTACTGGACATGAAATATTGAATATATTATTCCATTTCAGGATTATTATTATTTGTTCCAGGAGGTTATTGATGAGAACACAAATACTTGATCATTATATCATCAGATCAGAGATGTTTGATATCCCAACATATTTTAGCTTCTTCGGAATCTATAAGAGATTGTATGCAGGCTTCAGCTTTCAGTATAGATACAATGAAGGTACTAGGTAGGAAGTAAATCATATTGATAGAAGATATACCTACTGGACATAAAATATCGATACATTATTTGTTACAGGAAGTTATTGAGAACACAAACTTGATGATATCATATTATCAGAGGAGACATGTTTCATTCCAAGAAATGTTGGCTTCTTCAGAATCTATCAAAGATTGTAGGCAGGCTTGAACTCTCAGTAGATTCTATGAAGGTAGGTACCTAAATCAAAACATTGATAGCATATGTAGGTACTGAACATGAACTATCAATACATTATTCATTTCAGTAGGTTGATTGATTCTCTTTATTACCCCAAGAAACATAATTGTTCATAATAGGGATATATACAACAAAACATAGGTACATATAAGAACACAAACTTTTGATGCTATCATCAGAGCAGAGATGTTCAAATCAAAGATTTTTTGGCTTCTTCGGAATCTATGAAAGATTGTATGCAGGCTCGAACTTTCAGTAAATTGAGCATCAGAAAGTATGTTCAGGGTTCAGAAATCACAAATGATAACAAGAAGAGAACTTACAACAGAATTAGAACAAGACAAAAATCGTCATAATGTATTATTATAAATATTCATGATGAGTTTTCTCTGAGGAAGAAAGGAACAAAGATAGGTGGATCAAATGATGGATATAACATGGATATGAGATATTAAATCATTGTTTGTTTCAGAAGATTGTGGAAAACACAAACTTGATGTCATCTATAAAATATTGTATAAAGGCTTCAACTTTCAGTAGATTCAGCATCCAGAGTTGAGAAATCAAAAACAACATAGAGAAATTTTGCCAATGGGCAATAACTTCTAGTAGTGCTCACCAAGAAGCTGAGATACATTTTCTCAAAACGAAACTCGAAAATTTTCACAATAAGTTATGAATAATAGAATGTAGGTTTTTTATTTTGAACATATTGTTATTTCAGGGAATTTCGGCAAATATCATGATCTACATATTCTTCAATAAAATTTCATTTTCATCAACCTATACCTAGACATTTTCGAATACTACCTAAAGATGTTCCCATAACGTCCTATACATGTCCCAGAAGACCTTATATAGGGATGAAGTAACATGAGGACGCCTAGGGACGTCAGGCTCGCCCTCGACGTCCTGAAAACACTATTGTGGTATTTGTGCTATCTGGGTTTGATCCCAATAAGCTCTAGGTGCCTATTGGGGTGGTTGTGCCCCGTTAGGAGCCCCACTACCATTTTGAGGTTCCTCCTGTTGAGGAATAAAACCTCTTTTGTGAGTCTCTCCTTCATGTGGAGCTTCGATAGTCTCATTCCTGGTGTGTCCTGCCATATGTTGAGGAATTGCTTTTGCAGCTGTTTATCTATGGAAGACATTGCCAGACTGTTTGGTATTCTCAAGATTGGTTCCGGTCCGACCGGGGTCCGTCCTGAACCGATCATGGCCAGTCTGTCTGCCTCCCCATTTTCGGGTATCCCCGAGTGTCCCGAGACCCACATGAGGCTGACTTTTCTCGATTTTGCCACTTTTTCCAAGGCCTTTCTACACTCGGACACCAAATTGGTTGTGATTTCATTGAAATGCAAAGCCAGTATTGCAGCTTTGTTGTCCGAGCATATAGTGATTGGTCTACAACCTCTCATAATCAGGTTTTCTTGGACACAGATAAGTATTGCGAGTACTTCAGCCTGGAACACTGAGGCATATTCGCCCAAAGGAGAAGCTTATCATGATATTGATAATAAGATTCAATACTCAAAATGTATATGTATTGTTTAATGAAGAAGTGATATTAATTTATCATAAAGTGAGGACCAAAAGTCTGTCGCTCCCCTCCCGTAAATTCTTTAGGTCAGAAAAGTGAACTGGTTCAGAAATTAGTTGAAATGATTTCATATAATTTTAACTTTGATATAATATGATTCAAACTCCTGTGATTTATTAATGTATTATGTAACAAGTGTCATGAACCTCCTTTTGATAACGAGTATTTAAAGCACGAACGCAGCAGAGCGGAGCGAGTGTTCAATGAACAAGTGTCTAGAAAAAATCATGAACGCGTTACATATTATACTTTTTCCACGAACTCATAAGTCCTCTCTTCGACAAGATCATATACATAATACTATGCAACTGCAAACAACCAACGATCGAGACACGTGTAAGTGATATTAGTTGTAGATTAACGTAGATGTGGCCAGGTTAGGTTAGGATAATGGTGAAGAAGATAAAAACTCTTCGATTTGTTGAGGTATCAAAGTTTTCGATCGCTCAAGTTTGTATTCATTTACTGATTGCATAATTTTGGTCACATAAATATCGCGTTTTATGTTCAATGTCATTTAGCATACTGAAGAATGAATTGCTGACAAAGATGAGAGCTTGATTTTCACACAGAGTTTTTGGAAATATGCAATTACCTAGAACATTCTCTCCGATTTCACTTTCGTTCACATTCCGAATACAATTTCAATGAAGAATTCTGATACAAACAAAGATTGTTCGAATACTTCTGATTGCAAAAAGATTCCAAATTGGCAGTGGACAGTTTCCTCAATTGACAGGCCAGACGACAGGACAGGACCCAAATGACTGAGGGTGTCCTTATCGTCTGTCTTCTACATTTAACTGAGGGTGTGGTTGAAGAAATCTGTTGCCATGGTAGTGGACTTGTGAAATTGTGTTGCCATGATGAATTTTTTTTTAGCACAGATCAACAATCTGTGATTAATCGATCATTCAGCGTGGTACATACCCGTATGTTCAATGCCATTTCAGTTACGTGAGTAAAAAATAACAATTCATCAAACTTGTTCGAAATTCAACGTAGAATATTAGAATGCAATGATGAAGAAACATACGTTGATGCTCTTAGATTCCATTTAGATAAGAGCAATCCATTATCCGCCACACTCACTAATACTTTGACTTCATTAGAACACCGTGGAAAAGTCGACGACTTTTCACTTTCGTATAGATACTCCTACAAGACAAATATGTTCCTCAGAAATATCTGCGATCATTCCATCACTAGCAATTCAACTAAGACAAACTCGATAGGACCAGTCACCACATCCTTCCGTTGTTGACCTTGGAAATTCCTAATCAAAACTTGTTCTTCTATGAAATGGTAGAGCTCAAAAGTTATTTGCCAATAGGAGTATTCTCAGAACTCATTACCTTCAGGAGTTGAGAAAAAAATCATAACCTATACCTCCTCTCCCTATCCTCCCTAGGAACGCTAGGAGTTTTCTTTCGTGCGCTCTATGGGATAAAAAGCCAGAGAGATAAGCGAAGATTACTCACCCCGATCTCGTAAAGGTACTCCATCCCTTTGGCTACCTGATACACGAACGACGTCAGATCTCTGGACGTCAGTGACCTGCTCTGCCCGTGCATGTTGTTGTAGTACCTCTCTGCCCTCGAACTGCGCAGGTAGCTCTGCAGCTTGCCCATTGACACGTACTCCATGACGAGGAAGATGGGCTCCTTTTCCGTGCAGCAGCCCAGCAGTCTAACGACGTTGGCATGAGGCTCCAGCATCTTCATCACTTGCAGCTCGGTCAGGAGGTCGGATTTTTCTTTCTCGTTAGCGTTTTCTTTGAGGGTTTTCACTGCCACTACGGTCACTCCGGTGTCTTTTCCTAGAGATTGAAGAGTAGTGGTTGAGAGGGATTTCGAGACGATTGAGTTGAAACATAGTGGCGATGTAGGTCAAAATAACAAACACCGGTAAGACGAATAGAGAGGTCAGATTTTTCCTTCTTGTAAGCGTTTTCTTTGAGGGTTTCCACTGCCATTACGACCTCTCTGGATACTTTCCCTGGGATTGAAGAGGAGGGGATGTGAGAGACTTTGAAACGATCGACTTGAAACAAAGAGGCAATGTCAGTTACTAGACCAAACAGCGATAAAACGAATAAAACGATAGGACAGATTGGCTACGGAATGAAATAGAGATAGGACAGGGGATATGGCAGACAAGATATGGATGAAATAATTAAAAACCAGTACATAAAAGCAGACCGACAGAATAGCGATATAACAAACACGACAGGACGAAACTACATCATGGAAAAGTGAAAGACCTAAAAGCGACAGAATAAAACTGCGGTAAGTCTCCAGCATCTCGCATTTTGATCAACAAGTTGGATTTTGCTAATTGCTAGCATATTCTTACAGGGTTTTCATTGCAGTGTCACTGCCTGAGACTGTAAAATAAGGAATGAAATGGCGTCGAGACAATTCAATAACCTAGCCGATGAACCTGCACTGAAAATGTCAAACAACGGGAGAACACTACGAAAACAGGATAAATTACTGACATGACAAAATAGACACCAGACAGAAACCAAACGAGTTACTTTCCATAACTTTCCATCACAAAACATGACTGGGTAAAACAGTACCAGGATAATAGAGCAATTAGACCAAAAATTGAGAAGCCAAACAGGAGACAGATCTTGGAGAAGCAACAGGACAAAAGATAGACATGACAAAACAGCGATGAGTTGGTACAAAAAGCGACTAGATATGACAGGACAATTTAAAAATGACACAACAAAAGAGGACGTCAGAGAGCACAACAAAGATAGAGGAACAAAATCAGGATCATGGCGCGTTAGAGCAAAAACGTGCTATTCCAAAACATTGTCAGGACTAGGTAGCTTTGCAGCTTGCCCATCGACACGTACTCCATGGCGGAGAAGATGGGCTCTTTCTCCGTGCAGCAGCCGAGCAGTCTGACGACGTTAGTGGGAGATTATAGCATCTTCTATACTTCCAGCTCGGTCAGGAGGTCGGATTTTTTTTTCTCGTTAGCGTTTTTTCTAAGGGTTTTAACTGCCACAACGGTCAGTCTGGTGTCTTTTCCTAGGAAATGAAGAGTATTAGATGAAAGGGACTTCGAGACGATTGAGTTGGAACAGAGGAACGATGTAGGTCAAAAGAACAAACAGCGATGGGACGACCAAAGAGGTCGGATTTTTTGCCTTCTTGGAAGGGTTCTCTTTGAGCTTTTCCACTACCACTACAGTCACTCTGGAGTATGGACTCTGAAACGATTGAGTTGGAACTGAGGGGCAATATCAGTTGATAGAGAGAACAGCGATAGGACGAATAGAACGACAATACAGATTAGCGATAGAATGCAATAGCGATAGGACAATAGAGATGACAGACAAAATATGGACGAAATGATACAGACCCAGCACAAGAAAAGTAAACGACAGTATAGCGAAACAAACACGATAGAACGAAACTACTACATCATGGAAGAGTGAAATGCCAAAAGCGACGGAAGCTCCGATCATTTTGTTGACTTACTTCGATGAGCAGGAAGCATTTTATTTGTTGACATATTCTTTTGGTGGTTGTCCATTCAGTGTCATTGCCTCAGACCGAATGATAGCCTGAAAAAACCATGAGATAATGAAACTGATGCCTTCAACATAATACTGTAACTCAGCTCGACATAGCAAAGTAGCAACTGACTAAATTGTGCTGACCATCAAGAAAACATAACAGCGATGAAACAAAAGAGCAGAACGGCAAAACAGAAACAGGAGGAACTTATATGAAAATGGAAATAACAGACGGAATTGCGAGACGAAAAACTTGCAACTGCACGAAACTTACTAGATAAAATACAAGACAGAAGAGCAATAAGAAAAATGACAGAACGAAACAGCGACAGAACTTGGAGGAGCAACAGAACGAAAGAGAGGCGAAACGAAACAGCAAGAGGAAAGAGAAGAGTTGGTAACCAAAAAAACTGGTACAATGAAAGATTATATCACAGAACGAAATAGAGATAGGAATATCATCATAATCATGGTGCGACAGAACAAAAACGTGAGATATCGACATAATTAGGAGGCTCTGAAGCTTGCTTCCTGTTTTCTGGCAAATTCTTCAAGGGTTCTCACTCCAGTGTCATTTCTTGAGACTGGAGTATAGGGAATGAGAGGGCCTTGGGATAATTCATTGAAGTAGTCTATGAAACTATAACTAAATATATTCAAATATATAGTTCAGCTCGACAAAGCAGAGTAGCAAAGGCGAATTTTGGTTGGACATCAACAGAATATGATACAGCGTTAGATCCTGAAGCATTAGGACAGAACATCAGTGATAAAATACAAATACCAAACAAGAAAGCGAGGCAAAAAACTCGACATGACCAAACAGCTAGAACTGACAATCTTCTGACAAAAAGCGACGTAGAGAAATAGCGATAGAGGCCAGGTATCTGCATGATAGACGCATCAGTATTCTAATTACGATAACTTGCCAATCATGGGTTCAAATCAGTGACTGCAGAAATTTTTCTGATGGCCTAAGAAAGTGTTTGGGATCACACGTTAAAAAGTATAGGGCCCCTGTCATTTCTCGCTCGCACAGGTCTCTTGAGGGTTGCTCGTAAGGGGACAACCGGATACGGATATAAAGTATAGAACAATAGGAATAGCGAGACCGCAACATCGGAATGACAAAACAGCAACATAAATGAATAGTTGAATAACAAAACGTGAAATGAGATATTGAAACGTCGATTGAATGAAATATCGACAGAAGAAACAAGCAACAGGACAATAAAACCTACGCCGACAAGATAAATTAGCGGTGGAGCTGTATGAAAACGAAAACCGAATACCATGTAGACAAAAGAGTGGACTAAGAAAATAACGATAGAATATGAGAGCGACAGAAAAATAGTTGAACTTCATGTCAAACTTCTCCTTCCAAGATTTTCACTGCTATCAAGGTCATTCTAGTTTCCTTTCCAAATTTGAAGTGCACTCAGAGAAAGGAAAGATGAACTTGAAAATCACCTAGATAAATGGATCGAACAAAACTACTGAACTATTGTTGGTATCTGTAGACTTTTGAAAAAAAAAAAGCGAAACCGAAATGAAGATCAATAAAACGAAAGATCGATCAGATGAAATCGTGATTGAATAAAATAATGATCGGAAATAAAAACAGCAAAAAGATGCGAAAGTAACATGACAGAAAGGAGGAAGAATTGAAAATCGGCATGAACAATGATCGAAAAGACAAGACTGGTATGAAAGAGTATATCACAAAACAAGTAGAAGATGTGAAAACGATTGGGTATAAGAGCGATATAACGAAATAGCGAAAGAATCAAACAAACCAAACAGTGACAGGACGAAATAGCAAACGGGTCCACGATAGGTTGGAAAACAGCGCCAGAACGAATGTTGAACGAATCAGTAATGGGACAAGAGAGCTAGCAGATAGAGATGGCAAACTATCGATGGTACTATCGATAGTAGCGATAGTATCGATAGTTTTTCAGAAATATGCACTAACGATACTATCGATAGTATTCAAAAAACTATCGATAGTGGAAAAAATCCTGGTTATGGCCGTTATGGGTCTCTGTATTGAAAAAGAAGATATAATAAAATGCCATATGAAATAAAGATTCTCAATGACAACCTGACAAGAGACAAGGCGACACAATTGTCAATGTCAATGTTGTCAAATTTCTCCATCTCTGCACTCTGAGCTGCAACTGAGCCTTGATGTTGATGTCTGCGCCTCAAATTCAATCACTTTTCATCGAATCGTCAAACGTCATGCACATTTTCTAATTGGATCGATAGTTATCGATACCATCGATAGTTTTTTTCAACTATCGATAGTCAATACTATTGATAGTTTGCCACCTCTGCAATAGCAGCTAGAATAACAATCGGACAATATATCCATATATGCGACGTGTACACCGGAAGAAAATGAACTCTTTTGCTGCTTCTTGTAGGTGATAATTTCCACTTTTTTTGATGTTGATGATTCATCCGTCATTAATTCGTTATACAAGGTGTCCCAGAACATACTATGAATTCTACAAGGTGAACTAGACACCAAAATGGGCCGATTGAAATCACCCAACTTCTACAACAGAATGCACCGTTGAGCCGTGAGAGGGCGATGAAGAATAATTTATTTTCCAGAATTTTTCTTCGTAGGGAAATTCGATATTGTGATTGTGCGTGAAGAACATGTCATATCAATACATTCAATATACAGGTGTTCCGCATTTTATTTGATGAAAATTGATGTTACTTTTTTAGAGTACGCCTTTGGCATAACTTTTATATCACAGTGGAAGCCAAAGTGAATTTTTTCTGTCTCAATTGATTTTTCTTGGTTTTCGATAAATAGCATGAATTATGTTGTGTTATTTGTTCATGATCTGTCAGAATTATCATGTTTTGCAGGTTTCTACCTCTTTTGTGTTGAGTTATTTAACCACAATAATCTTGTTTATGATTTACTTTAGCATATGATGAGTTATTGGTCATCTCCAAATTGCATTTTTTTCTCGAGTAAACTTTCTTTGTGAGAAATTTTAGAGTAATAAATTCCAGGGATTTTGAAATATTTAAGAAAATCTGGAAATAACATCACTAATATTATGCATCGCCCTCTCACAGCTCAACCAAGAGCTCAACGGTGCATTTTCGTATGGAGGTAAGTTGATTTGAATCGACCTTCTGTATATGGCTTTTTTTCCAAAATGACATCATCTTGAAACTTTGTGACGTGAAAGAATATTGGATTTCTTTGTGTAGTGTGAGTTGTATCGAGAATGAAATTCTCTGATGAAAAA